GATTTTGAACAATTTTGTCTCGTGTGCTGTTACGGGTATGAGGGCGGTTATCACTTCCCGGCTGCCCACACCGTGGAAGGTTGTTTCTTGACGAACCTGAAAAGGAAGATGGATTAGTGTTGGTGCGTGACCGCAGAGTCCAACGGACAACTGCTTGAGGCCGGTCACGCACGGCCTTTTTATGAGAGGTATTTAGAGGATTAGCTCCGTTCTTAAAGGCCTTTAGTGGGCACCCTTACCCAAGGAGACGGAAATCCGTGATGTAGGGGAGGTGTGACATTTTTAGGGCCGACCTTTTCTAACCCTTCCTTCCTTGTGAGAAGGCAGCATCTCTGCAGATGCTGGTTGTCCGAGGGAAACACCTTACTGCTGTCACACCCCTCTGCAGTCAGCAGTACGACTTCGCCCTCAGACCTTGGGTAGCTGCTTTTAGTCTCATCGTTCTCCAATCGATTTGCCTGGCATGGTAGGACCTGCAGGAACATGTGTTCCAGCCAGTATAGCTCGGTTGGGTCATCACGATAGGCAAGCCCGACCACCACGTCAAGGTAGCAGCTTCGGTCGGGAGAAGTAGATTGGATGAAAGCTTGGAGTGGTCAAACCAGAACATGGTATCAGTCTATAAAGACAATGATTGTTGTTAATGTTAGCAGGTGAAGACCAAGTAATTGAGGTCCTTGGGATTATCCTAACCAATAGTTATAGAATTGAGATTACACGGCTTATAGTGATTCACAATGACAGACGTACATTCACTCTTTATTTTCCTTCAGATCACAAGTTTCTAATTCCTTCTTGATTATTTTATTTAGCGATTATATATATTTCCTTAAAACGTATATTAGATGTCTGATCTTTTTTAGTGCGATTAACACTGTTACTATTTTCTATTACTCAGGAATTCGCTTTGACAATTCTATCTTGCTGCTACTTGGACAAATGAACACATGTGTCAGTACCTAATTGACTGATGATCATACTTTTATGAAATATACATGATGATCGTTTAAAAATGTAGAATTCAACAAAACTATGCCACATATAAATGACGACAGAATTTTTAAAAAGTAAAAAAATACAAACTAACAAAGGATAATACATAGTATACAGTATTAAAACCGAAAACTGAGAAGGAATTTAAATTACTAAACTACATATTATTTGTAATATTTGAGATGCATGAAATGGATAAACATTCAACAACTTCATTAGTTAATTTTACACCACTAATATTTTTAATTACTTGGATCTATTTATCCATTTGAAAAACCGATATAAGCAATTAGTTATGATTTTTCATAGTTTCAAACACAAAGTGATCTTACAGTACAATTAAAAACCTAGGGATAATAGAGGGCCGTTTCGTTCTAGAATGAAACAGCAGTGAGGATTTACAACAACACATTCGAGAATCGAACTCTAGTATCGGTTTAGTTCTTTCAGATTTTCACTGGTGGACTAGTTAAGATAACCGCTTGCTCCCACCAATGTCTTACGACCGTTTTTGGGATTAATAATGTATTATTCAGCTTTTGTGCCATCATTTTCGACGATTGTGCTGATAGTTGGATATAACACATCTCCGCTCCGCCCCTTAGCATCCACAGCCAAATGGTCAGGCAAAAAGATTTGTGAATATATATTACAGAGGGCTTCAACTAAATAGAAGCGGATGCCAATAGAATCACTACAGAACTTATTAGTTGTTTATCAAACGATACCAAGTGATGCAATACCAGAACAAAAGTCTCCAAAAGGGATCCTCATGAGGACGACCAACAATCTGATGCTACCGAGAACCACAGGAGCTGCCGATATACGAGGTTGGGTGACCAGTGTTTAACCGAGACTATAGATTAAACCATGACCCGTGGACGGAAGCAAGTGTGGAGGTAGCGAGAACATGTCATGTGTAAAGTAGAGATGAGGAGAAACAAGTGAACTCGGCATCGAAACCAGCTCGGAAACGGTTAGCCTCAGAACGCCTATCGACAAGCAGAAGTCTTCCGCTCAAAATTCTGATGAATATCTTTAACTTCCCTTCATTCTCAACTTAGGAAGAAGCCCAGTAACAACTCAATTTACGTAAGAGGAGAACAAGTAAACAAAAACAACAAACGATCAAGATGCAGGTTGAACGCCAGGAATATACGCTACAAGAGAATGGGGGTGATAGGAATGCCGTATCCTTGGAGCTCGCTTGGTAAAGCTTTTAATTTTTCATTTTCGGAAATTCAAATTCTTTTCGAGCTGAAGCGCCTCCTATTACTTTTAGTTTGTGTTGGAAGAACCTTAAACCTCAATGGTTAGTTTTCTCTTTTAGTGAGATATTTTGCAATCCTTTCAACGACATTGATTGAACTATATATACTGCGCTTCCTGACCATAGCTACTACCTTTACTTGGTGATGGAGCTTGCCTATTCTAATGACCCAACCGAGCCATGTTGGCTGGAACATGTGTTCTAACATGGTTCTACCATGCCAGGCAGGTCGATTGGAGAACGATGAGACTAAAAGCAGCTATCCAAGGTCTGAGGGCGAAGTCGTACTGCTGACTGTGGAGGGATGTGACAGCAGTAAGGTGTTTCCCTCGGACAACCAGCATCTGCAGCAATGCTGCCTTCTCACAAGGAAGGAATGAGTTAGAAAAGGTCGAACCTAAAAATGTCACGCTTCACCCTACCTCATGGATTCCCGTCTACGGCGGTAAGGGCTTTTAAAAAAGAGCGGAGCTAATACTTTAAATACTTCCTACAAAAAGACCGTGCGTGAACTGCCTCAAGCAGTTGTCCCCTGGGCTCTGCAGTCACGCTCTCAGGTCTCTATGACTAACTCTAACTCAACTTCCTTTTCAGGTACCTCTACGGTGTGGGCAGCCGGAAAGTGACATCTGCCCTCATACTCATATCAACGCACAAGATCAAGTTGCCGACTGATACATGACGCTAGAGTTGAATGCTTGCTAATTAGTCTGTTCGGGGCTGCTCGTGGATTATACACTCTTCCTGCTGACATTGGACGTTTCGCTCTAGTTAACTGGGCTGGGCCGCAGAGAATAATTTACTTGTCCTGTTACTGTGTCACTGGTCATCGTTTTTTTGCCGATACAAGTTGTATATTTATTATCGCAAGCATATCCACACATAACGCAACTCCGAACCAAACAATTATAAAGAATAATAAAAACACAGACAACCTTTTCTGCAGAAAATGTACTTCTAACACTGGGTTCTGTTTTCACGGACACCGTAGGTAGATCATTACAAACACTAGTGGTACTGTTAGAAGTAGATAATATCGATTTTTTTGGCAACGGTTGTTGTTGTTGTTTCAAATGTATTTTTGTTTGGCCTGTACAACGTTTACAATGCATATCATATAAATGTTTGCCATGTTCATTTGTAGTATCCAACTGTAATGATTCATTCATTGCAGTTGTTACAGTAGTAGTTTCTGATGGTTGAAATGTTGTTGTTGTTGTTGTTGTAGTAGGAAGAATGGAAGAATGGAGTGATGAAGGAATCATTGTAGAGCCAGTCTGATTGGATCCAAGTATGACATTAGAATTATTTGTATTTACCTAAGCATTCAGAAAACATAAGAAACAGTATTTATTAAGGTGATGATTAATTGATTGATAAATCGATTTTAAACACGCCTATTTTTAAATATGACAATGAAATGAAAATTCATAGCAGGGTGATACAATACTGAAGTAAAAAAAGGGGCAAACAATTCTCATCCAAAAACAGAACTACAATGGGAAATAGTGAAAAATACACCTAAGAGAACGAATAACTTAGACTGGTAACAACTCAATAGTTCATTAAAAAGAAAAATTTGTGCAGAGAATTCACTAAAGAATTCTCATTCAAACAAACACAAAATCCAAAGAACAAATTTTTGTTCTTCTTCAGTAAACATAGCCATTTTCGCAACTTCAACTAAAGTATCTAGAGAGACAACATGCTAGTGTACAAATCAACCATAAAAACTAGGAAATATATTAATTTACTAAGATAACAAAACAACACACATAAAGCATTGTCTAAGAAAATAAATTACTTCAACTGTTAGAAAAAAGTTACGTGGTACCGAGTGAACACTAACCATCTACATAATATATGATGAACATATGAAGAACATAAACTAGCAGTCAAATGATATGACATATGCTATCAATTATATCAATGCAGGACATCCATTCGATTGTAAAAGCAATGAAATTCTAGATAGAAAAAAGTTGAAGAATCCCAGAGAATTTCTAGAGGTATGATTGTTATTCAGGTCAGTTCATAGTCGACAGAGATATATCAGTGTGCACAAAATGTTAATCAGTCGTCACATGATTAGAGGTCAACAAAATCAAGAAATATCTTTTCGTCAACGATATCACTAAAACAGATTGATTTAGTAATTGCAAATTAATCAAATAGTCGATTTCGACAAGAATGAAGAGATGGTAATATTTTTCAAAGCGACAATGAACACTTTCAGTCAGTCGGTTACAACGTAGAAAGAACTTCGTACGTACACAAATCAGTTCAAGTCGCCAAACCACATAAGCACAAAGACGCCATTGTCACTTCAAATCCCATAGTGGTGGTTCTGCATAATACATGACGGATGAAATATTCGTGTATCTTATACAATTTCGGCCAGTAAATAAACATATTTGCCTTTAATAAGCTTCACACATGACACATTTTGATAATTTTATCCCAAACCTTAGTGTATGATATGCTAGGTAAGGATGGCAGATCAATAGATGAAGTGGTGAAACTTCATCAGTTGAGGTGGTTTGGACATGTGTTACGTATGCCTAACCACCGACTGCCTCGACGAGCTATGTTTTGTGGTGTAGGAGTAGTTTGGAAGAAATTTAGGGGTGGCCAGACCAAAACATGACAGAAATCCATGAAGTCACTAACTAGTGGACTGAGTCATGTTTGTAGGTGTCGACTACCTGGTTGGGGTCCGCAAGACGAAAGTCACTAGTGGTTAGAGACCTTGAACGACATGGCTCAAAATCGTTTGCAATGGCGCAAGTGCATCCATTCGTTGTGCTCTCTCAAATCCTAATCTTCTGGATTCTTCAACACCTCTACCTTTGTCTTTCTAACCTTATCTCAATGAATTATGCTTCTTGAATAATATCTTCGAACCCTAGTCTTCTTCATTACCATTAATACCTCTGCTATCTTTATCACTATGGGATTTGATTTGACATCTGCGTCTCTGTGCTAATGTGGTATGGCAACATGAACTTATGTACATACGTACGGAGTTCTACGTTGCAACTGAATGAGTGTATGATAACTGATCTGTATGGTGTGTTTCTTTTTTACTTCCTATAACGAGTCAAATAAATGAGAAATTCATTAAATGGATTATACATAAACTTACATTATTCGATGAACTAATTGAAGTTGCAGCTGATAATTTATTATGAGCATTAGCTGCTAGACGAGTACGTCTAACTATAGATTCTAATGTTTTTATGTTTTGACAATGTGCTAAATCAATAGCATTTAATGAACCACTAATAAGTGCATCGAAAAATTGATCACGTAACATAATAGATGATTCAATAATTGCAGTCGTACTGTGTGATTTTTCTGAAATACCAGGATTATCTAAACAATTAAGGAATAAATGTAATTGACATTTATATGTTGAATAATCTTGTACCAATGGTGAAGATTCATTTGACGATGTAGAATAATTAGTTAGATTATTTCTAGCACAAATTACATTTTCCAATTCTGTAGCTAACATTTTTAATCTTGAACGATTAACTGTAAAAATATAACGCGAAGTTTGTGTTCTATTTGAAAAAGAAAATAAATGAAATAAAACAATAACATGAATATCATCACTATGAAAAAAATAGAAGAATACTAAATTATTGATTAGTAAGTATAGTGTGAGATGAAGTTGTTTGACATTTGATAGTGATACGTAAAAATATTGAGTCACTATTGGTGTGTACGTCTCATTCCTTGGAAAAACAGAAAGCTATTTCTTGTCCGCTCACATGTACAATTATTGTTTAAAAGTAAAATTGGTGAAACTAAACACCACAGTGGAAATAGATTGTGATACTTGATCACATGATATTTTCAACTTTACTATTAGGCAAACAATAAACAATCAGATTCATAGATCAGATCAAACACAAAATGTTTCATGTTCAATAATAACTGGAAATCTGAATAAAACAAAAGCAATTAGCATGTCAAAATAGTATGAATTCATTTAATTTCACGGTTTATCGTCAACTTCCATATATTTTCCTTTTACCTTACAAAAATAATTAACTCTTATAGTCTTTATTGCTCTATTATCTTCATGGATGAGAACATGTCTGGTTTCTAATGATGTAATATTATAATGGGAAAAGTTGTATCAACTAACTAAAAGTATTATTTTAGCTCTCTGTTAGGATATTCACCAAATGTCCTAAAAGAACTATTTTGGAAGTGTAATCCTATTGGTCGATTTTTATTGGTCAAAATTATGGTCGTTTTAAACTGTTAAAGTCAAATACTTCAATGTTGTCTCTTATTGGTCATCCGGACCGTCAATGTCATTTCAAATGTTCTTTCCTATTGGTCGTCCTAAACTGTCAATGTCACAGAATTTGATGCTCTTTCTTATTCGACCTAAATGTATAAATATGCACTATCTGTAAGACTTCAGGATTCCGATTCCGTTCCTTCCTGTCTACCTTTCTTCTGTACTGGACCCAATAAACAACTCCATCCAACGGTGTTGCGTTCTGATATATAGGAGATTTAGGGATAGTATTTGGGTCGTATTGGGATATTTGAGTTCGGACGTCGGTAGGATTTGAATAGCTACGTAGCAGCATTATAACACTCTCGGTACATACGGCTTTTTTTCGTTTGGTTTTTCAAACTATCGTTGTTATTATGATTAGTTTTAATTCGTTAACAAGTCGTCAATGCTAATAGAAATCTGTCGAACAAGCTAAACTTTGGCCACAAGTCTAGGTAAATCAATATTGTGTGGTCGAAAGTAATTGGTAAGAAGCCTAGACTTATATGTGCTCAATTATTGTCAATAACTCAATCATACTGGAAGATATTTATGATCAAGTGGCAACGTCTCAGATTGTGTGACTGTGTAACCCGGGTTTCAATCGACCAGGTAGCATCAATTCCCTCAAGATCTTAGGAACACTATACCGACGAGCACCGATAGCACGAAACTAAAGGTTCACATTAAATATCCTATTGATTAACTTCTTAAATAATCAAATAAATCACTGCAAAGTTATTTCTATGTTCTGTTGTTTTCGGTTTACCTTTTTTCAAGCAGAGCAAATAAAAGAGATCGATATTTTTTTCGTACATGTTCAACACTCTCAGGAGTCAAAAGCTGTTGATTATTATTTGAATCGGATGTTGTCGATGAAGGCGAACGGCAGGCATCATACTCTGCTGACATTTTGTTCATATGTGATGATGCTGTCAAAATAAGGTTGAAAAACATTATGCTGGCTACAAATAAAATGCTGACCAACAAAAAATTGTTTAATAATATTAAACACAGAATCAATTGAAGAAAAGCACCTAACAAGGAGTCACAACGATTCACATGGTCAATGTTCTTTCTGACAACCAGAGCAACCATTAATCTAGGGACATGGAATGTTTGCATCTTGTGAAAGAAAGGAAGAACTATTCAAGTAGGTACGGAGATGAAAAGAAACAACCTGGTGGTGCTTCGAATAAGTAGAACACACTGGACGCAGGTTGAACAGAAAACAACTTCAGGAAACATGATATTTTATTCCGACCATGAAGAAGAAAACGCCTCAAACACACAAGCAATTGCACTGATGCTGTCCAAACAAGCACAAATTACACTTATAGGATGAGAAGCTCATCAACCCATAATAATCAAAGCACCCTTCAAAACAAACGTCATCCAATGCTATGTGCCTACCAAAGATTAAAACGAAGACGTTAAACATCAATTCTACGAGAGACTGATAAATGCCCAACAAAGGATGTGACCATTCTGATGAGAGACCTAAACGCCAGGGTTGGAATGGACAGCACTAGATATGAAGACATTATGGGACAAAATGGACTAGGAGAAAGGAACGAAAAGGATGAGAGATCTGCAAACCAATGGGCCTTCAACAAACTGGTCATAGGTGGAACCATATTCCCGCACACAAAGCTATATCGGCTGCACGGCAGCACACTACAAAGAACCAAATAGACCATCCCTGCATTATTAAAAAGTTCAAAAGGACTATGGAAGACGTAAGAACAAAGAGAAGAACTGATATAGCTTCATATCACCACTTGGTTGTATCCAAGATAAGACTGAAACTAAGGCAGCATTGAACAAGGGGGCGATAGCTGTCAGAAACAAGTTCCAGGCCTTTCACCATCTACCCGACGGAGAGAAAACTACCATGGAGAACTGGAAAGGGATCAAGAAAGCAACAACTTTAGCATGTCATGAGGTTCTGGCTAACAAGAAACACCATCACAAGGAATGGATGTCTGTTCGATACTCTAGGTAAGATTCAGGAAACGAAGAACTAAAAGGTAGCAATCAATAACAGTCGAACAACAGTAGAGAAAGCCAAAGCGCAGGTTAAATACACAGAAGCAAATAACCAAGTAAATGCGACCAATGAAGCTGATAAACGGAAATATGAGGAAGATCTAGCAATGATAACAGAAAACGGTGCAAAAGAAGGGATAACGTGACAACTGTAGTATACAACGAAGAAAATCGCTGGAAAGTACAGTAAACCAGAACAACTAACCAAAAATAAGGAAGGCAAACCAATCACCGACATCGAAGAACAGACGAACAGGTGAACAGAGCAATCTGAAGACCACACCCACTGAACCCACCTAACATCGAGACGGCGTCTACACATTTCCCAATTAATGTTGACCCAATAACAATTTAAGAGATCAGCATGGCAAAGCAGTTAGAACAGACAACATACCAGCTTAAGCACTGAAATCAGAGAGATGTAGCTGCAAAGATGCTCCATGCTCTCTCGAGAAAGAAGTGGAAGAACAAATATCAATCAACAGAGTGGAAAGGAGGATACCTCATCAAGATATCAAAAAATGTGTGAACAACAGAGGCATCATATCACTATTAGTACCAGTAAGAGTTTTCAACAGTGTTTTTGAACCGAATAAAAGGTTTAGTAGACACCAAACATTCAAACCAATAGGTCGGATTTTAGAGGGCTTGAACCAAATTGTGACCGAATTGATTAACAAGCATTCCAATAGAACTCGTCACTATAGATCAACTTCTTAGACTACGAAAATGCATTTATCAGAGTGAATAAAACATCATGGAGCCTTTTTCAACACTATAGTGCACCTCAGATAGTTAACATCATAAGGAATTCTTATGATGGACTACACTTCAATATCATGAATGGAAGGAAGATGACAGATTCATTCCAAGTCAACGCCAGTTGCTTACTCTCGCCCTTTTACTTTATCCTGGCGGTTGGCAGGATTAAGAAGACCTTCTATGCTATATAAGCACAGGGATGTATAGTGAATACGAAATCAAAGAGAACAAACCACTTAATTTAACGCATAGTTTTGCTTTTACAGGTATAGAAATCAATAAGATAACGAAGAAGCAATGATTGCATATGCGTAAATAATAATTATACCGAATAACTATTCCGTATTATTGAATAGCTTACTTTCATTCTGTTCAGAACATTTATTCGACTGGTTTGAAGATGTAGTCTTTTGAAATCGATCATTTTTCTGACGATTGTAAACAACCTGTTAGCACAGAAACGAAAAAAGGATAACAAGAATATATATATATATATATATATATATATATATAGCATAGTACAAATACACAGGCTATGAACTTAAATTCAATTCAAAACGGTTTGGATGATACAGTTGTGTGAAATTTGATCGGTCTTACTTAGCATAAGGACAGTCTTTGCGGATAGCCTCGATATCACTATTATGATGCAAGTTTACATTGAACAGATAGAATGTGGTTATCTGCGGAATCCAGGGTGCGCGTTTCATCTTATTTGGGACTCGTCAGATGAATGGACCTGCACCTCAGAGTTAATGTTCGCTTCAGAACTCGAACGCAGTACTATGTACTTCAATCGCCATAGCGTTATCCACTTAATTGATAAGTCCGGATAACCACTCGCTTGTGAAATCAGTAAGAAATTTAATTCAATTTGAAATGTTTCTGATTATCCGAAGACTGATGAAATTCCAGTCACAATTTAAACAAAGGAATCATCCAAAAGATTTCAAATTGCACAAGCGAGTGGTCATCCAGACTTATCAGTTAAGTGGATAACGCCATGGCGATTGAAGTGCATGGTACTGCGTTCGAGTTCTGAAGCGAACATTAACTCTGAGGTGCAGGTCCATTCACCTGACGAGTCCCAAATAAGATGAAACGCGCACCCTTCACATTAAACGATTAATCGATAGAAAAACTCATAATAATGAGAACGAATTAGTAATGGGCGATGGAATAAGTACAATAAAGAAGTAAAAGATCTTGAAATTTATCTCTTCATACGAGTATACATTAATTCTGACATTGACAAACAGATTTAACATAACACGTGTTTCTCCGAAATCTAACCATATTTCATAGATTGATGTCACAGTTTAAAAATATATTATGTTGTAAACAGTAACACTTACTTGAAAAGTAGGATGGGCGGATAAAAAATCAATCAAAGAATCACTGGTTGGAGCTCTAGTTCCATTTAGAACTGTCCCACTTCTACGATCTAGGACAACTAGTGTTTTATGAGCATCTAAGTGATATTGATGAGCCTAAAAACAGAAATTAGAACACAGTAAACCATTTGTCATTAATATTCGTATACTACAATTGTAAAACAAAACAAAGGAAACTATACAGGACCTAGTAAAATGCCTGCCTGTCTGAGTTGTTACATCACAAAACGAAAATCAGTACGAATCAGGAATATATATATGTATAAACCACAAGGGCGACATGTTTGAACAGAGAATAGCTAGAAATAGAACAGCCTATTTAGGATTTTCGGACAGTAGATTAGTACAAGCAATTAGGGTTGGCTGCTTTAGGTTATTAAATGCAATCACCAACTACTCATAGCCTTTAGCTGCTAAGGGTGTCAAATACTCTGGAAAACCACTTATTTTGTAAATTCGTTCATTCATTATCATCATTTTTTACGGTTCGCAGTCACTATTTTACTGTCTGCTATACGCCTTCAGGAATCAATTTTTTTAGATCTTACTGTCAAGATCATTGTAAATATAAGAGGACGCCAATAATATTTTCTTAAAGTAATTTAATTTAATATCTACCGATAAATCTTCCTAACAAAAATTGACTTTTTTGGATAAGCCACGTTCAGGAAAATATATAAGGCAACTTGCAGTACCTATGAGATTCAAATTAAAGCTAGGCATTTTCGCAAATTAGTTCAAGGCAAACATTGCAAAGCTATGAGATATGTTCATCATTACAGACACTAAGAAAGAAAAAACCTGCCAAATTACAGTACATCTTTTTGCTATTCCCAAAAAGTCCCAATCTTATGACATACTACAGATATATGAGAAGAGAATAAAAATAACACAGTAAATGATGACAAAAATATAAAAACCAACTAACTGATTTATCGGTAGTATCTGTTGAATCATATTTTCGGCAAACTGTTTGAAGTACATCCATTGCGTAAGATTTTAAACATTTGTTACTACAGTAAACACTAATCTGTAAAACATAATAATAAGATGGAAATAAGAGCAAGGTTTGCAAGATATAACGCCAGAAAAACGACATCTGAAATATGCTTAACACTTGGAAGAGTGCAGATTATAAGTAACTAGGTGGACGGAAGTAGTTGATCAGAAACCCATCAGTCACAATAAAGAATTTGGTACATGTGCACATCACTTCAAGTTACCATAACACATTAGCACAGACTGATGGAATCGTCCGTTCGAATTCCATAGCGATTAGCGGTAATCAATATGATAAGGGATCGAAGATGAAATTCAAAAAGTACATAAAACGTTATTCGTAGTCTCCTGAAACCCTCAACATTGCTTACTTGGTGGTACCAAGATACACGAGCAATGCTTTTAAGGAACAAATGATAGAATACCAGTAACCAACGTATGTCCTCTGTTCTTAGTGACCTTGTTTCGAAACCGTACAGTAAGACGGGGTATAGTGCTGCCCTAACGAACACTACTTCAATTAAACCATTCCAATGACAGTTCGCCATTAGCTCTGATTCGACCAGTAGTGTTCGAGTAGAGAGCCTGTTTAAGGTTAACGAACTCCTCTGGTACACCTTTCAATGACACTGACACAGAACCTCACGTTCGGCAGAGTTAAATGCTGCCCGAGTTGTAGCTGAAGGCCAGTTGAACTGCTTCCTAAAATGTTCTGCCAATCGATCTAATCTCCTGGATTGAGAATTAAATGTGCCCATCTTTTTCCAAGATAGTCACACCAACAGTCAGGTGCATAAAAACGGTTTCCTTGATAAATCGGAACATTTTTCTACTGTCACCAATCATCGCTGTCTTTTCCATCTCTCTTGCTTTCGCTACCCACAACTGTTCACGATCATTGCGTAGGCTTTTTATCAGACTGCAACTCCGCTACTCATCATACTCAGAGCCAGACGGGATGAGCATCTATCAGTTTGGCATATAATAATGAGGTCCACTGTTTTTTACTAACCTGGTTTAGCTTACTGACAGACGTCACTGCTATTATCACATCTTATGGAATACCTTTCGGAAGTTGTATCCACCATTCAGTCAGCTTTGTGGGTGGCCATATCAAAAGATGTTTTTCCTTGTGCTTAAAGATATTATTTGCTGCAAATCGGCGGTTTCCCAAGCATAGTTGCAGCAGATGGCCTACATTATCGGATCATTGAGCCACAACAGCATAAGATCCACTCAGAAGTCTTCCCGTGTCGCTTGCTCTTCTTACTTGAGCATAAAAATCACCCACCACTATTACTACATTAGAATGCTTAGCTCTTTGAAGGAGGTTGGAAAGCTTCACGCGAAATCCACCGATTACCTCAACCGAGTTGAAGTCAGTGGGAGCGTAGGTAGAGACTACGAAGAAGCAACGACGAGTGTCGCTGTCCTTCTGAGTCTTTACTGTCCCACTTAGTCGGACAGCGGCTGTCTACCGGCAACCAGTCTAAGAGAGTTCGTTTAGCCCTCAGAATTAATGCCATACCTACACCAGTGAGGCCACGCGAAGTAGCAGTGGAGCAGCCAGATACACAAGGCGTACACCGAGACGGTTCTATATTTTGACAAGTTAAGGTCATATGAATGACTCTACTCGGACCCTGTATGCGCGTTTCGTAGACATCACACTGTTCGGTGGTGCGAGATTCTAGATTCCTAGCTAAGAAAGCACGGTTTGAACATTAAAAGCTCCAACATGTAGTTTACAATGGGGTTTCAGGAGACCAGAAATAACGTTTTGTGTACTTCGGTCGTTTGCATCAGCGTCGCGAGGTGATAAAAAATGAGAGAAGGGTTATCAAGAAGTGTAGGAAGGATTTGACAGTGACCAAATTGATCTCGTGCACTGTTGCGGGTATGAGAGTGGATATCACTTCCCAGTTGCTCACAAAGTGAAACGGTGGCAAGAAATAATGGAGCCAAGTGTTGCTTGGTTGGATTCGATCAGCAGTAAAGGAAAAGAGAAATATGGTGCCGATCATTAATCAGTGATCAAACAATATGAGTTGTAAGATACTATAGTCAATGAGTCACAACGTAGAACCTGATACATGTTTATTAGTTTAAGTTACCACATCATAGTGTAACAAGCTGAAATAGTCAAGGCGAATCACAGTAGGAGAGGTAGTAATAGTGTGGTGCTGTGGTGCGAACTACTTATAAGTAGTATATAGCGTGAGTGTCAACGTAAAGTCTGGTAGCATAATATGGGGGGAAGATCAAGAAAGGAAGAGTCAGAAAACAATGGAATTTGTATGAAACGCATGAAGAGTGACAATGGATTGATGTTTGGCAACAGGAACAGTCCAGTTCCATAGGATGAACTGATCCTTTGCAAATGAACGATTTACGATATGGTTTTCCGATTTTACTGAGTAACTCTGTAATTTTCGTTAAAAACAATTCGGTTGCCTCCACCTGTGTTCTCATTCACTACATTTGGTGTCGCTGCCTACGCAAAGGATGAAGATTCCATGGCCGAAGGAGTTTGAAGACGGGGATGTGCGGGGCTTCCTGAAGGAGTTTGAGGCCGTGGCGGAGCTGGTGGGGGTGAAGGAACCGAAGGCGAAGCTGGTGGTGCTGGGGACGCTGCTGAGAGGAAGGGCGAAGGCCGTATATGACGGCTTGGACGGTGCTGGCGGGAAGACGCCATGGGAGGCGGTCGTTGAGCGGCTGATGACCGAGTTCGACAGCCCGGTGGACAGGGAGGAGGCGTTGCGGAAGTTCCGGTTGGCGAGGCTGTCGGCTGATGGTGACCCGCTGGTGCTCGCTGTGGAACTCAAAAGGTTGCTGCGCCGTGCGTTGCCGAATATCGATGAGGAGTCGGAGGCACAATTGTTGGCGTCGCAATTTATTGAGAGTGTGCCTGCCGCTGTGTCCCAGCAGCTGAGATTAGTAAATGCAGCACAACCTATGGACATCGGTGAACTGGCGAAGGTGACTCGTCAGCTGATGACACGAACAGTAGCTCCGGTCGGGTGCGAAAAGCAGGAGATAAATACTTTCGAGAAGAAGATTGAGGAGTTAGAGCGTGAGATAGCAGCATTACGAGTAAATCATAAAAGGAACGATAAATGTTACGCTTGTGGAGAGGCAGGACATTGGAAGATAAACTGTCCAAGAAGACGACGACGACGACGATATTTTAAACATTATAACGTGTTTTCTTTCCACCCTAGGAATTGGGAGGTTCTTGCACTAGTAGATAGAGGGGCAATTTATGCCAGAGTGTACATAAATGAACGGGAGTTAGTGTGTTTGATTGATACAGGGGCAGCTATATCGTTAATAAGCAAAGAGCAATGTAAGACAATTAAACCATGTACATTAGCTGTCCACACCATAGGAGGGCATATGCTAGAGGTGTTGGGGGTATCTAACAGTATTGTAAAAATGAGTGGAGCTGAGATAAATTTTTCGTTCGTGGTAACCACAAGCTTATCGAGACCGATATTAGGAGCAGATTTCCTAAGAGAGGTAAAAGCAATAATTGACTTGAGAAGCGGGAAAATGGTCACAAAGTACGGTTCATTGCCAATACATGAAAGTAGCGAAGTGGCTGAAATAAGGATGACAACGGACGTCTCGACCAAGAAACCTAACGTTAACGAGTTATGCGCAAAGTATGCGAAACTGTTCACTGGAGATGGGGAGCCGTATGGATTTTGTGACAAAGTAAAGCATGAAATTCCTATAAAGAACGACCGAGTAAATATATTTACAACACGTCGTGTCCCAGTGCATTTAGAGGCCGAGGTAAATCGACAGGTCCAGGAAATGTTGAAGGAAGGGATAATTGAGGAAGCAGACAGCCCGTATAGCTCACCGGTACTCTTGGTAAAGAAACCCAATGGAAAGTTTAGATTTTGCGTCGACTTTAGAGAACTGAATAATATAACAGACCTGAAACCTTGCGCAATGCCAACAGTAGTAGAAACATTAGATCGATTACAGAATGCCACGGTGTTTACAGTGCTGGATTTACGGTCAGGTTATTGGCAACTACCTATAAAAGATAGCGATCGCAAAAAGACAGCATTTACTATACGGGATAAACAGTATCAATTTAAAAGAATGCCGTTCGGGTTGGCTGGTGCACCGTTCACGTTCAGAAGATTGATGACGCTGCTGCTTAAGAATCTAGATAATGTTGAGGTATATGGCGACGATGTAGTTGTATACAGCCTGACGGAAACAGATCACGTCAAGCATGTGGAAGCGGTCTTAAAGCGAATTGACGAATTTGGGCTTCGAATTAATAAGGAAAAGTCGCAGATAGCGAAAAACAGCGTCACATTGTTGGGACATAAAGTGGGAAACGGAGAAATAAAGCCATTACCAGAGAAAATTCTTACCATAAAAAATATTGCAGTACCTAATTCGAAAAGGAAGTTGAGACAGTTCCTGGGAAGAGCGGCGTTCTATAGTCGGTTTGTCAAGAATTTCAACGAAATAGCAGCGCCCTTATATAAGTTGCTGAGCAACACCAAGTTTACATGGACTGAGGCTGCCGAACAAACGTTCAACCGAATCAAAAACATGCTAGACGATCGTCAGATGACGCTGCGACTGCCTGAACCCGGTAAACTGTTTACAGTGGCCACAGATGCAAGTGATCATGGTATAGGTGCGGTATTGAGTCAGGCTGATAGAGTGGTGGAATACGCAAGTCGCGTTCTCACACCCGCCGAACAGAAGTATTCAACGATCGAGAAGGAATGCCTAGCAATCGTGTGGGCAGTAGAGAAATGGAGACCGTACCTTTTAGGTAGACGATTTCACATCGAGACGGATCATAAGCCCCTACAATGGTTGAAAACAGCAAAAGACCCTCGGGGGAAGTTGGCTCGATGGATGCTACGTCTGCAGGAGTATGATTTCAGCATCGGGCATGTGCCAGGGGAGGAAAATGTAATGGCAGATTATTTGTCAAGACCGGACACCGAAGCCGAACTTCCAGAGATAGCGTGTGCAGTTAACGGCCTAGAGGGAGACCCCCTAGAACTCGTCCGACATCAGAAAGCCGACCCTAACCTTCGGGAGGTAATCAGAGTGATAAAAGAGGGAGAAGATGTTGACAAGAGTAGAACAGATAAAGAATTAACAGTGTTGCTGAGGCAGAAGGAGAGACTGAGAGTGAACGGATACGGAGCCTTGACCTGGCGGGATGATGACGAGAATTGGGTAGCAATAATCCCAAAAGATCTGCGCCAGGAGATGATTCGTGAATGTCACCAGGTAGCGCATACAGGTATTGCACGGACAACTGATTTGCTGCGACAAAGTGCGTACTGGCCAGGTATGAGAGACGATGTTGCACGATATGTGTTAGCGTGCCAGCGATGTCAACTAATGAAAGGAGATCGATGCATACGACCGCCATTGCAGTCAATTCCAGTAACAGCAGTTGGTGATTTGTGGTCAGTAGATGTTATGGGACCGTTCCCGCAGACGACAAGTGGTAACCAGTACCTGCTGGTGATGACTGAGCATGCCACACGATGGGTAAATGCCGTGCCGATGGCGGACCAACGTGCAAGGACGGTGACGGAAGCGGTAATGCGGCACATTGTGGCTGACCATGGGATACCAAAGATAATATTAACCGATCAAGGTCCCTGTTTCGAGAGTGATGAGTTCAAGTCCCGTCTAAAGCAGTTAGGTATCAAGAGAGTACGAACAACGCCGTATCATCCACAGACGAATGGGTTAACGGAAATGAATAATCGAACGCTAAAGGAATGGCTAGCATCTAAAGGGGGTGACTGGGAGAAAGAATTACCATTAATCTTGCTGGCACATCGTGCCTCGGCACAGGGAACAACCAGGAAGTCACCGTTCCAGCTGATGTACGGCAGACGGCCGAGACTACCAACGCATGATAAAACCTGGCCGCAACAACAGAGATGGAATACAACAAGATTGAGAACAGAGCGGAGACAAGCAATCAGGAATGTGAGAGAGAAACAAACATCAGACATGGAAAAGTCAGAACAGGAGAGAAAGAACTGGAGATTGTTTGAAGTGGGAGATCAGGTGAAGTGTAGAGAACGGAAATATACCACAGGAAGAGGGCCAGGGTCAGGTAAGCTGATCCCGAAGTGGGAGGGACCGTACGTCGTCACCGAGAGGCGCGGCGCAGTGTATACGATCCAGAAAGGAAACAAACAGAAACGCGTAAATGCCAGTGAACTCCAAAGGTGGTTCCAAGTGCGCCAAGAGGGCGAGCCACAAACACTGATGAAGAAGACGGCTGTACGGAGATCAGAAAGACTGCGACGACAGCTTATTAAAAGGGGGGACGAGTGTGGTGCTGTGGTGCGAACTACTTATAAGTAGTATATAGCGTGAGTGTCAACGTAAAGTCTGGTAGCATAATATGGGGGAAAGATCAAGAAAGGAAGAGTTAGAAAACAATGGAATTTGTATGAAACGCATGAAGAGTGACAATGGATTGATGTTTGGCAACAGGAACAGTCCAGTTCCATAGGATGAACTGATCCTTTGCAAATGAACGATTTACGATATGGTTTTCCGATTTTACTGAGTAACTCTGTAATTTTCGTTAAAAACAATTCGGTTGCCTCCACCTGTGTTCTCATTCACTACAATAGTATTAGTTGAAATAAAAAGGACTACGTATTGAAGATACTATTCAAGAAAAATGTAAATTAGTATAATAAATAAGTCATAAGGAACACAAAAGTTTAAAATTTGAGAAAAGACAAAGAATGGATAAACATGTCTCTCTCACTTTAGTAAATTTTTGTCAAAAAAGAAGATTAGCCTATTAGTTTTGCAATACATGTCGATAGATACTTGTGATATTCCTAATATGAATATATTTCACTGCAAGTAGTTGGATGCTTTGTGGAGCGGTGGTTTGAATATTTGAATCTCTGTATGAAAAAATGGCCTATACAGCTCACGGTAAAAACTTACTTGAGGATTAATAATGCTCTTACAATTTGGTCCCAAACATGAATTTGTTGTTGAATTTACTTGTTCATTTGTTTCCTTTTTTAAAATAATCCGCGGTCGTTTCTTTTTGCGTGATAGGACTTTGGGGAAATTTTCAGATCGCAAACTATTGTTTATCCTGTTTGAATGAAAGAACATATTTTCTCGTTTTTAATAAATGGAAAGCGCAAAAAAAAGAATGTTATCAGTTATCAATAAAAATGATATCTGAGAAAAACGTGAACATGCTCAGATCACTACAACACATCAGTAAACTAATATACTATTATAACAGGCTATGGGAACACAAACAAGTAACGTGCATGTTTTCACAAGTCATCTCAAGGTCAACGCAACAGAAAAAAAATCGAAGCGTGTTATCATACCTTCTGTCAAGGCCTGAGGGGCATATATATATACCTCAAAACACAATCCAGTGACAAATAAATAACAAATGAGTTAGCAGAAATGAAACAGATGAACGACCCTAACATTTCGAATGATTATGATGAACGTATAAGCTAATCAAGATGAAAGGCATCGTTATCAATTGATTTCTCTGAAATAGTAATAAAACTACTATGAGGGTAGTTTTAAGACGGTCGATGAAGATTTATATATTTTTATAATAGGATCAACAGGCGGAACGCTGAAATAAGTTCCGAAAACGAACTCATCCATGTGACTGGAGAGAAATTATCCTCTAGAGACTAAATAAAGTAGTTCTTCAAACAGCTCCAAATTGCTGCTATATTGTTTGTGTGAACCCCGGTTGTAGTATCGACTAAGAGTTGTCTATGTATGACAACACTGCGACGATAAGCATGTCTTTGAAACCTACTGTATTCCTTTCAGTCTGCCAAATAGATAGTAATTTCGGAAAAGGTGTTCTTTTTTAGCACTAGGTACTCACGTTCTCTTTGAGATTTAGAACGTAGTCAAAATGTCATCTTCCAAGAAACTTATCCTAGATCCAAAAACTTACTATATTAGAGAAATAAATTAACTTATCGATTGATTTATTTAACATCATTTTAAATTGTAATTAATTTTACTGATGACCAACTTACCTACTCCAACAATTCTATTAATTCCACCCAGTGTCAATGTTAAACACAGTATTACTTCTGAAAATACTTAAGGACGGTAATGATACTACCAAAACACACTACATTTTGGTACACCCTCATAAAGATGTTGCTTCTGTTAATTCACTTTCTGTTGTCCAATTCATGAACAAATTATACAAGTAGTTTCAGATGTAGTTTTCATGAAGTGAAAAGTGAATTCGGTTGAATGAGTTCCTCGTACCAATGCTCATTGTAGCAAAATAACTTTTCATCTCGTTCCTCTTCACGATGAGTATTATTTCCTTTATAAATTGATAAACCAAGGTTTCAACGGCAGTCCTCAATTATGAAAATAATTTATAACGTTTTCGATCCGAAAACCATTGGCCATGCCTTCCAGTAGCATAGTTACTATGCTATCCCACATGGCGCTCTGAATTCTACCCTAAAATCTAATAGTTTACCAAGACCACGTAGAATTCCAAGGTTGTTTATTTATAAGCAGAGATATTTGGGACCTGTGAGCTGAATGTACCTAGATCTCACACTTGATGCTCACTCCGGGATTCAAACCCAGAGCGTTATACATTTAGCCAGAGTTCAGGCAACCACTGGTTTGTGTGATGAGATGAAGTTTAATTCATTTGTATTGGTTATTATTCAAATAACAAGTGAATCAGTTGTTCATTTATTTTATCCCAGCTTCGTAACTTTACTACATTTTTAAACCAGTATAATGTGTTCAGGTAAAACTAGTACACTGTCAACAAGATAGAATCCTAAACATTACATGCACTGATAAAAATCAAATGGAACGCACCTATCGGCCCCTTTTTCACGTAATCAGTGATAACAAAGGAATCAGACTGTTATATTCTTACTCAAACTCTGTAACGGTTTTAGTGTTATTCTTATTCAAGTGTACTGGAATATATTGTTCTCAATCAGTTCTCATTCCGATTTAAGAATATTCGAGTGAACTGTTGTAGTCAACAGAAAAAATAACAGAGATACGATTTCGGAACTTTAGGAAAGGGTGGTTAATTTCCCCAATGCTTCAGAGATCGAACCCGCAGTCTGATTGTTGAAAAATCGTTTGTTTAAATTATTCGACAATAAATTCACAGTTATCTATTAATATTACATTTTTCACGACATAAACAGTAGCTCAGTGGTCCGAAATTGAGATCTAGCAAGGACGATAGGTGATAAACAATCTCAAACTGGTTAAATAGTTGATCGCCTTTCTTAATATTTAGTAAAGCATCGATTTCATAACAAGTCTAAATTAACTGAAGCAACACTGATAGACTTTTATTGATTTTTACACTGAAAGTAGTTGATTGTGTATGCAACGACTGCTGTCATGCATTGGAACAGAATAGCTATCTAATTTTCTTAATGTGTTGATCAAAGTGACGTCACTTTGTGATTGAAATGAAGTTTGTCTGTTCTAAAATACAGATTGATGATATGAAACTCGTACTAGACAAAAGTATTATGGCAAATATTTATGAGCTAAATATATTTTCATCTGAAAGTTGTTTCAAAACAGCAGAGTGAAAGAATGAAATCAATTTTTGACTGGAAAATAGTAGATAAACTATGAAAGTAAACAAAGCAAACGAAAACAGCCGAATCTCCAAAACTGTTGCTAACCAACAATCAACTTACGAAGATGGTTTATTTTCATTTGTGATTACAGATGATGGAGTGTCTTCTGTACTAGTTAAAGTTGAAAATGATTCAGAAATTGAACTATCATCCTCTGAAGGACATTTTGTAGTAACATCTGATTCTGGTAAAATAGTAGCAAGACGATCACGTTCTTTTTCAGCTTCCTCGGTTAAGCGTAATCGTAAACTATTTACTATGGTTGCTGTTAACAGATTGGTGGGTGATATAGGCGTACTAATGACTGGGGAAAATTCCGTTGACGTAAATTCAGTAGTATCAGCACCAGTAAATGTTTGTAGCTGTGATTAGGTAGGGTACATGAAAAAAAGTAAAGACAGACATAAGTTAAATTGTATCATTTTATTTAAAGTATGGTTTGTGTTAGCAGGATGTAGTACCGACGTTTACATGCTTCGAGTTAGAATTGATTTGGAACGCACTGACCAGTCTATTTTTAACGAGTCAGTGCTAGTTGATTAGTGAAGATATTAGAAGATTCTTATGCGAATTCGATATCAATGCTTATGTTTTTGACACCATGTCTTAGCTGACTGGACTTATTCTAATTGTATCTTTATGCGCTCTCGATACTTGTTCTGAGCTGAGTAGGTTCAAGTTAAGATTCACGTCTAGCCAGGGAACATCATACTGTAGAAAGTCATAACAGAGATACACAATATAGAATAGAAAAGTTCAAATTTATTAGCTTACATTAGTGGCTTCTTCATTTTTCCCCGTGTAAGCACCCATTAATTTACATGAATCACAGACAAATTCGATTTCATTTTTCTCCATACGTTTACCTTCTTCTGGTTTAATTCCAACACAATCACCGTGATACCATTCATCGCATAGATCACAACAAATCATAAATCTAGGATTAAAAGTTTTTGCAAAAACAACATACACTTATATTTCGTTCAATATTAGAACTGAGGCAACACATTAAGGCCTATGAGAACTGAAATAAGTTTGCATCAACGTTTAATTTAACTAAAAGATAGTATGACACAAGTGTGTCAATCTAAATGAATTGACTGCTGATGAAAAAAACAAAACGTTTACTACACGATATCTATATCATTACGTGAAAGCTTACAGTACATTGGCATTTGTATCAGACCTACCATATTAAACAATCACCAATATACCATGGACAACACTGGATATGAAGATATCATGGGACGACATGGACTAGGAGAAAGGAACGAAAACGGTGAGAGATTTGCAAACCTTTATGCCTTCAACAACCTGGTCATCGGCGACACAATATTCCCATACAAGCGCATACACAAAGTCACATGGATTTCACCGGATCACACTACTCACAACCGAATCGACCATATCTGTATCAATAAAAAGTTCAGGAAGACTATGGAGGATGTGAGAACCAAGAGAGGAGCTGACATAGCCTCAGATCATCACTTGCTGGTAGCCAAAATGAAACTCAAACTAAAGAAGCACTGGACAACGGGGCAGACAACATCACACAAGCTTAATACGGCCTTTCTTCGGGATACCGTAAAACTCAACGAATTCAAGATAGGCCCCAGCAATAAGTCCAAGGCCTTGCAGGATCTACTCAATGGAGAGGAAACAAGCTTGGAGAACAATTGGAAAGGGATCAAAGAGGCAATCACTTCAACATGTCAGGAGGTCCTGGGTCACAAGAAGCACCATCACAAGGAATGAACCTCTGTTGGTACTCTTGAAGAAAGGAGGAACAAGAGCTGAGAAAGTTAAGGCACAAGCTGAATAAACAAAAGCAAACAGGAAAGTGAAGAAGGGCATCAGAGCTGACAAACGAAAATATGTGGATGATCTAGCAACGACGGCGGAAAAGGCTGCAAGAGAAGGAAACATGAGACAGTTGTACGATACAACAAAGAAGCTCGCTGGAAACTATCGTAAACCAGAATGACCAGTGAAAAGTAAGGAAGGCAAAGTAATCAGCAACACTGGAGAACAACGAAACAGGTGGGTAGAGTACTTTAAGGAACTCTTGGTTCGACCAGCTCCACTGAACTCACCCAACATCGAAGCAGAATCTACAGACCTCCCAATCGATGTTGGCGCACCTACAATTGAAGAGATCAGCATGGCCGTCAGAAAAATCAAGAGCGGCAAAGTAGCAGGACCAGACAACATTCCAGCAGAGGCAATCAAAGCAGATGTGGAAGCAACTACAAAAGTACTTCACATTCTCTTCAACAAGATTTGGGATGGAGAACAAATACCATCAGATTGGAAAGAAGGATACCTGGTCAAAATACCAAAGAAAGGCGACCTGAGCAAGTGTGAGAACTACAGAGGCATCACTCTTCTTTCAATACCAGGCAAAGTCTTCAACAGGGTATTGTTAAACAGAATGAAGGACTTCGTAGACTCCCAACTTCGAGATCAACAGGCCGGATTTCGTAAGGATCGATCGTGTACTGACCAAATTGCTACATTACGGATCATTGTGGAACAATCAATTGAACGGAACTCACCACTCTACATCAACTTCATCCACTACGAGAACGCATTTGATAGCGTGGATAGGAAAACACTATGGAGGCTTCTTCGACACTACGGTGTGCCTGAGAAAATAGTTAACATCGTGCGGGATTCTTATAATGGATTGAACTTCAAATTCATGCATGAAGGACAGTTGACAGACTCATTCCAAGTGAAGGCCAGTGTCAGACAAGGTTGCTTACTCTCACCATTCTTCTTCCTCATAGTGGTCGGCCGGATTATGCAGACGTCGACATCAAGTACAGTAGATAGCTCGGATACAGCTGAACGATCTGGACTTCGCAGATGGTCTAGCTCTTCCCACAAACAGCAAATGTAGGAGAAGACAACTAGTGTAACAGCAGTCTTTGCAGCAGTTGGTCTCAACATATATAAGGGAAAAAGCAATAACCGGTGATACAACAAAATGTGCACAAACCACATCACACTTGACAGAGAAACATTGGAAGATATGGAAACCTGGGAGGCATCATTGATGAGCAAGGTGGGTATGATGCAGATGCGAAGGTATAGATTGGCAAAGCGAGGGAAGTATTTGTACAATCGAAGAACATCTGGAACTTGAAACAACTATCAACCAACACCAAAGAGAGTTTCACTGTATGGAGCGGAAACTTGGAGGACCAAGAAAGCTATCAACCGAAAGATACAGGTATTTATAAACAGATGTTTACGCACAATACTACAGATTCGTTTATCAAACAGCATCAGCAACAATCTACTGTGAGAAAGAACAAACCATAATCACAGCTGAGAAATCAGTGAAAATCAGTGGAGGACGACAGAACAAACATTGCTGAAAGTATCCAACTAGGTCACAAGGCAAGCCCTAACTTGGAATCCTCAAGGCCAAAGGAAAAGAGGAAGACCAAGTAACACAGTAAGTCGAGAATTGGAAACAGACATGAAAAGAATGAATAACACTTGGGAACAACCGGACAGGGTTAGTTGGAGAATGCTAGTCAGCAGCCTATGCTCCACGAGATTAATAGGCTTAAAATAAAAATCAAGTTATCGTTCACTTCTGCCTTCTTCATATATTATGGATTCTTGTTGAAGGGTTGTGTTATTTGCCATTGTATTGAGTTCATTATAGAACTCGTTTGTGATGGAGTAAACTTAACCGTTTTACAATTAGCACGTCCCGGATACCTATGCCGAACTTTGATCAAATAACATTATACAGGGTATAACTATACACAAAATGTCCGTACGTTACTTACCTTTCATCATGAGGTTGTCGGCATATACACCATAATCTTTCAGGATCATTTTCTTCCGAATCTGAAGAACAATTACTTAAATCTTGTGACTGTCTAAAAAGACGAGATTTTGTACGTTTTTTGCAGGTAGAATTAGTTGTTTTTAAAAGTGGAGATAATTTTTTGTTTTGTTTTGTGAGACCACCTAAATTAGTAAAATAAGTAGAAACGTTTACTATGTCTGATAAATCAATATAAAGTAAATGAGAAATAACAATGAGGGTTTGTGTGAAAAATTTAATAATATGACCATAAATCATAACAGTGATGCTATCGTGAATTACAAATATTCTACTCGTGAGTAAACGCAACTTATTCCCTTACATATATCTTATTCAGCTAAAATAATCTAACTTTCACGTACCTCAAATGAGTTATTCTGGTAAATCTGACAATACTTTTTACAGAGGAAAATTTCTAATCACACTCAATATACATTTACTACTAACGACGATCGAAAATGTTGTCTTGAATTAGTTATGATAGCTGGAAAAATTTAGGCTGGAGAGCAGAAATGCAAACAGAAGACAATACTCTTAGTTAAATAAGTTGAGAAAATGCTTTGCTAAAGATTATCTCATCAATTAAATTAATGTTAGCGAAAACAGACATAATCGTGTTTTCTGTGTGCAATATATGAGAGGTGAAATACATTTCATGTAACTATAATTATCACTCGAATTCGTTATTTGTGCAAAACTGTGTGATGTGCATGTTATCTCTGAATATCTATGAGTAATAAAAAAAAATGTAAGGTCTAACACAAATGTGAGTTAGTCTGAGCTGTCATATTTTCGTTCTGAATCGCCATAATAATGAGATACTGGCAAAATTAAAAGTTGAGGATTTGAAGCCATAATAATAATAGTAATGGAAAGATAATTACAGGAAACATGACTCAAAGGGGCAATGAAAACAACTGAAATGCTGTGACCGGTTTTAAGCCATATCATATAACGTTATCAGCTTTAAACTAATGTAATCTTGGAGATAATAAATAAAGAAGCTTTTTCCATCATAGGGTTGTGCAGATTGTTGGGTTTCACTGAAATCATGCATCGACTAATGTTAGACCGCCATTAGAAAGCACCGAAAGGCCGTTTCGTCCTAATATGGAACTCGCTAGTAGTGCGCATCCACGATCACCAGTCACGAGAATCAAACCCAGGGCCTTCGATTTCGCACGCGAACGCCTAACCTCTAGATCAGTGAGCCGGCATTCAACGGTGGTAGTGTCCGAATTCGGTCAATCCACGATCTTGCGCAACCGCATCCACTGTCCTCAGTGGGCACTATTTCACACTTGACAGGGTTGAATTCCACTGGTCACGACTTTTTACTAGAACTCGGAAAAGCTTTCTCACGAAGCCAGTCACTAGTGAGCACATGATAATTTTCATTACACAGTTGTGGAGATTGTTGAGTTTCATTGAAATCACCAATCGATCGAATCTAGGATAGCTTGTCTGTATTCCGTAAACACATATATAATGCTATTACAAACATACATGTATACTAATTACTTATGTTGTCCGATGATTTTACTAACTACAATGATTAAGCTACTATTTTAAAGAGGACAGAAATAATGGTAATGCAGATAATACATTGCATGCAGTTGATGCAGCTGAAAAGTCATTAATAAAGCCTCAAGGGTAGGCAGGTTCAATGCATGCATAGATTCTACTGATCTGAAAAATTCTAGATAAAAACTAATAAGTTTAACGACCAAGATGCATGAATTTAAGGTGGACAGTATTCCAAAATAGTAACTCTTCATACATTACATTTTATTTCTTAAGTGCAGGGTAAAAATGTCGAAGAAACAAAACAAGGCATGAGATTAGTAGTTCTCAATCTAAAATCTTTGCATTTTTTTTATACTCGATAGCCGACATTCAGTATGAATTTATGCTGCACTACACTTGAATCCAAGTTGAAAACGCGATCCACGAATATTTCTTGAATTATTTGAATGAAACATTATTAGCATCTCCACAGTTTGAGAAAGACGATTGCCTGAAACTATTGTACCAAGAGTGAAGTCTTGTAAAAACCTAACAACAAAAGTCTCGACGAATTTTGAATGGTTTTAAGTTATGCTCTTAGAAGAAAATAACTTACCGTGAACTTTAGTTCTTAAAGAATGCTCTGAAACATCTTCTTCGCTGTCACAGCATGATTTCTTATTCTTTTGTTTGGCTTCAATACGAGCTGATTGTCTATAGGCAAATAAATTAACAGTGGATGATGAAGCTACTGGTTTACTATTTAATTACCACTTTCAATTGTTTATAACTGTGTAAAAGCTTAGACATGCTGTTATTGACAAATGTAGCATTTAATGATTCAAAAAGTCATTATTGTGATGTGTCGATATAAAGTTGTGTGCCGAAAATTATAGATAGTCACAAGCGTTGACAGATGCAACTATAGGTAAACTAAAACTAGAAAGTTATCTTCACTGATACAGTCAGTCAGCTACAACGTAGAACTTCGTACGTAAGTACATCAGTTCAAGTTGCCATACCACATTAGCACAGAGACGCAATTGTCAATTCAAATCAAATAGTAGTAGAGATAGTAAAAGTATTAGCAGTAATTGGAGAGATTAGGGTTTGACGATATTATTCAAGAAGTAGGATCTAGTGAAATAAACATAAAAAGATAAACGTGATGAGGAAATAAGAAGTTTAGGATTTGAGAAAACACAAAGAATGATTGCACCTGCACCATTGCAAATGGTTATGAGCCATGTCATTCAGGTTCTTTAACCTTCGATTACTACCACCTCGCGGACCCCACGCAGGTAGCCGACACACCGACATGACTCAGCTCACCTGTCAGTGACTTCATGGATTTGTGCTATGTTTTGGCTTTGCCGCTCCTAGCTTTCGTCCAACCTATTCCTACACTATAAAATATAGCCCGACGAGGCAGTCGGTGGTTAGGCATACGCAACAATTGTCCCAAACACCTCAACTGATGAAGTTTCAATACTTCATCTACTGATCTGCCACTCTTCCCTAGAAACCGTTTCCTAACAACAGCATTGCTTACTCGGTTGTCCCAGGATACACGAGCAAGGCTTCGAAGACACCTATGATCGAAAACCAGCAACCAATGAATATCTTCTACTCTGACTGGCCATGTTTCGCAGCCACAAAGTAGGACGAAGCGAACTGCTGCGCAGTACACTCGTCCTTTAGTCAGCAAACGGATATATCGCCTACGCCATAAGTGTCGCAGGTTGGCGAAAGTCACCGAGCCTTCTCTATTCATGCTGAGATTTCGTTAGCCATCAGGCCATCAGCACTGATGATACTCCTCAGGTAAGTGAAGCGGTCAACATCCTCAACCGCTTCACTCTCTATCACTAGTTCAGGTGCCGATACAAACCAATCCTGGAGCAACATTTTGCATTTCGACAAAGAGAATCACATCCCGAACATGCTTGCATTGTTGCTTAGGGTAGTCAGGAGACACTGAATTTTGTCAATCAGTGAATTTGGTAGAAGGTCTACTCCTGAAAATTCGGACGAAGATAATGATATATCTAGTAGCATACCTATCGCAAAATTAAACAAGAATGGAGAGAGTGGACATCCCTGACGGACACCACTTGAAGTAAAGAATTCCGAAGACAGTAGGCCATAAGCTTAACCTGTAGTGTTCGATTAGAGAGCTTGTACAAGTTTAATGTACTTCTCTGGTACACATTTTAATAACAGACACTGTCACAGAGTCGAATGCCGTTTTGAGGTCCAGAAAGACAAATTTTGTCGGCCGCCTAAATGTTTGTGCGTTCACAAACCTGTCATCATGTGAAAATGTGGTCTATACAGCCACGTCCAGGTCGAAAACCAGCCTGGTTTTCTCTAGTCTGCTCTTCACGGGCTTTCGCCTAGTGTCGGAGTATTGTTGAGGCCAATAATTTCGATACTATATTCGTTAGACTTACTCTACGCACACCAGCGGGGCCACGGTAAGCAACAGCAGGGCTTCCAGATACACAAAGCGTAAACTGTGTTGATTCGCTATCTGCAGAAAGTAAAATCAAACTGATGATTTTACTCGGATCCTGTATGTGCGTTTCGGAGACGCAACACTCATCGATGGTACGAGATTTTAGAATCCTAGCTGATAAAGCATGTTGCCCTATTTGACACAAAGTACGAACATTAAATGCTCCAATATGTAGTTTAGAATGGTGTTTCAGGAGACCTAGAATAATGTTTCGTGAGCTCGAAACGTTTACATTAGCGGTGTGAGGTGACAAATGAATGAAAGAAGGGCTGGTAGTGGAAATAAGATTAATTGTTGAGGCTGGTTACGCACGGCCTTTTTATAGGAAGTCTTTAAAGTGTTGACTCAGCTATTCAAGTGGCCTTACCGCAGGAGACAGAAATCCGCGAGGTAAGGTAAGGTGTGACATTTCTAGGGTCGAACTTTTCTAACCCCTTCCTTTCTTGTGAGGAAGCAGCATCGCCGCAGATGCTGGTTGTCCGAGAGAAACACCTTACTGCTGTCACACACCTCTACAGTCAGCAACACGACTTCGCCCTCAGACATTGAGTAGCTGATTTTAGGCTCATCGTCTTTCAATCGACCTACCTGGCATGGTAAAACCATGTTAGAACACATGTTCCAGCCAATATAGTTCGGTTGGGTCACCACGATAGGCAATCTTGATCACCATATCAAGCCACTAGCTACGGTTGGGTACTGATATAGATTAAACTTTGTTGTATAACTCGCATTCAAAATGTATGGGTATGAAGAGAGAGAAGAATTAACCACTATGAAGGTATCTTAAGTTATAAAAGCTTTGTTAATTTGGTGTTGTGAGACTAAATGTCCTGACCGCCGTACAATGTTATTTACATGAAGTGTTAACACGTTTTTAGAAATGTATTGCAATCAAAAGTGGCTTACAATAGTTCACGAAGCTTCAGAAATTCTAATTTCTACTTTTGGGGTCGGTATAGGTGTATAATTATTCTCTTTCAACTCTAGTTGCGTCGTTTACCTTTCAACCCTAGTAACAGGTAAAAACTGCAGTGTAAAATTACACTTTGTTTGACCTCGTAAGAAACGGAGACTTTCTTCAATTAATATTTTAAGAAGTGAAAGTCCTTTCATGTGTAACGTTTATAATGACGGCTACAAATTAATGACTTGCGAATTGCAATAACAATTACGTTCTTATTGAAACTGAAGACAGAAGCTGTGGTAACGAATGAATATATATAAATATATATATATATATATATCGGCGCCTGTTGCGATTTATTTTTAACGATTATAAATGATTTACACCATGCTTGGTAAACCAACGTACACAAATCCATTTTCAAACAACAGAGATTCTCGAAATTTCGATTGCAATGCATTTCTAAAATGTGTTAACACTTCTTGTAAATAACATTTTAAGGACAGAAAATTTAGTCTCACAACAACAAACTAACAAAGCTTTTATAACCTGAGATACCTTCATAGTGGTTAATCCCTCTCTATCTCCATAGCAATACATTTTGAATGCGAGTTATACAACAAAGTTTAATTTGTATCAGTGAAAATAACTTTCTAGTTTTAGTTTACTATAAGTTAATCTATCAAAGCTTGTGATTTTAGCCACACACCATAATATCGACATATCACAAACAAAGGCCTTTTGAAACATTAAGTGCTATATTCGCTGCAAAAAACATATGCTAAATTAGAAATTGACTCCAATATAAAATCAGATTAGTGCACTTTCAATTTTCGACGAGGAACTACATGATGTTGGCAAAGGTTGATTTTCAGAAAATGGATCCTTTTAATATTATAGGCGTGTGCAGTTACGTTATATGACCAATTGTCTTGCACCAGCAATTAACTGTTTTCATAGCTTATATTACGTAATTTATCCAGAAAGGAAGATGGTGCATTATAACTTCATGACTAATTGCACAAGCACATTTGAATTTACAACTTGTGAAATGTAATTAATAAAAGCATAGTAGCGAACAAAAATAAAGACTTGTTACCTTCTTCCTTGAGTAGGGGTTGCAGCATTTTGACTGGAGTCCGGAGAACGGGTACTTGAAGCATCGAGAATGGGCTGATCATATGTAAGTAAATAATAACAAACATGAGTCTTACCTGTGGGCAAACTATTACATTCTCCGAACGAGCACAGAAATGATTTATTCTACATGCTTCATTTCGAAACGGACTGTCGTCCATGTGGTTAAATCCAGGGGTTAGATCTTCTATTACTAGAGAAATGATTACAAAGGGGAGACTTACTGAATAAGTGTCTCGAAGAATCTTCAACATCACCAACCAAACTCATAACTCCATCACTTGAGTTTACTTACTAAACGATGATAACATCTAGGTAACGTAGAAGTTTGAATTGCCTAAAATCGCTAGTTACAGTATCCGATAGCCAATATCCAATATCTTTTTCACCAGATGGTATAAACCAGTTGAATTCCTTGCACTCCATTATTGTTTTCTCGGTACAGTTCCGGGTATTTGGTAGTGTCCAGTAGATGCTGGTCCAGCCATTCGGCTGTCTAATACTGGGCAGTTGACAGTCGTCTGTGAACTTGTGTGTCCCGTGATTAGAGTGAATACTTTTGTGTCAGGGCAGTAGGGTTTCTGGATATCAGCAGCTATCACATTACCAGAGTTGTGTAAAAGTTGCTCTGTAGGGCGGTCAAATGCAATGTCGCGATGTTAATTGTTTCTCAGTCTTGATTCTTAAGTAGCATACATTCACCTAATTTACCTTCAATGGTTTTCTCCCCCATAACTTACATCTCCTTCACACTGTTTGTCAAATTATCTCACGGTCCACGTTTTATTCTAATAAGTAACTATGTGGTGACAGAGTTGCCACCAGAACCTACAATTTAACAGCTAGGAAAACTAGTAGGGGTCTAGATCATGGTGTTACTGATGAGTAGGAGATTCCAGTTTTTAGCGACAGGACTATGAAAAGCATAAAGGGACACTGTACAGTGAACTTCGGAGTACGGTGATTCCGCGGAACATTGAACTCAAACTCCTTGACTGTCTGCAACTAAGAAATCAGAATGATACATTCACATTCCCATCTCCAATAAGTCATGTAGGCAAAAAATAAAGAAAGAATGGGATGATCTAAAACTTTAGTGATATTGACTGCTGCTTAGAAAAGGCATGGTCACTGCCAGTTAAGACCAGAGACTCCACATTTAAACGTACTGTCTGCAGTTTCTGCGTTCTCACTTCTTGTGTTATTCTAGTTCGTAAACAGTTCTATGGGTTCAGATTAAGCTACAACCTACATTTGATTCTGATATGTTTGTCCGCCATCTAGAATCAACAAGACAACAAAAATAAAAAAAGCTAAATGAGGTCCTTTTGAAAATGAACAGATCTATCCCTATCGCTATGCCAAATTCACCCAACAAAGATTTGACTAATTACTCGATAAAGGCTATCAAAATCCGAGCTGAAATACGACTGACTGTTATAAATACTCCAAATGAGTAAGCATTCGGAAATAAAAAGGCAACAACATAGTTACTAAAACTTAAAAATTATTTACATTAGAAAGAACGTCTTAATTTGAAATAATGATGTTTCAGTGCTGGATGTTAGCCTCCTAAGAAGTAGAGTTGTTGTTGATAGAGGACAGTTTGAAATACAAGACGTAATGCTCAGTTCACAGGCTGAGGAAGATATCCTTGTAATATCTCAGAGACCGTCGGTCAAACTACCACTACTAATCTCAGTTACGTACGACGAACCGTGATCAACACGAGACAGATACCAAAGGGCTCACCAGTACGGTGGTTCACTGAATGCCTGAACCGGTTGGTGGTAGCTTAGATTCAGCTCACGTACAAAACAAACAGCCATCGCGTCAGGCTGCCTCGTCTGTTTCGCATCGTATTGAAACATAGCTATCCCCTAACATAATTTCCTTCAGATAAAACGGTGAACGATTGTTACAGCTTCAGAAATGAGCCCGAAACAAGTGGGAAAGTCTCTGTTAAGGATTCTGGTTGCAGTTCTCTACTGGCATCGAGAAACAGATATAATGACAAAGTTAAAGGAGATAGGACTCTGTCAGGGGAAGATAACAGTTAAAACACTGGCAAACTGATATTATATCTTTAGGTTCATATGTAAGTGAAAACCTAAAAATCAGCGTTTTTATGTCTCGAAAGATCTGAATTACGAATATCCTATGACATCCTAGTTATGTGCAATCCAGGTAAATTCAAGTGCAGGTAATCGTTATACGATCTGTTAAAGCATTCACTGTTGTCACATCAACTTCCACCAGAACGGATATAAGGTACTCTCTCCCGAACTTTCAAAGGAGAAGAAAGTAGGCATGCAGCCTGCTACTGACCAGAAGCATTACCAGGAATAATGTCGAATGTGACACTGAACAAACATGAGGGGAACATGAAAACAAACAACACAATTCACGAGGCCTAACATGGTTAAGGTCTCAAATATGCAGTCTTCTCATAGTATGGGAGAGCTGGAGAACCTGCTAGCATCAATAAGTACCGATCTATCTGGATTCCGAAATAACCAAGAAGACAAGAAGTTTCTGACTAGATTAAGTAGAATGTATGCATGCTGGCGAGTTTCGATTCCCGGAGTTTCGAAAAGGAACCATCTTCTATGCAATCTTCATTCTAACATATACAAGACTGATCACCAAGCGTACATGCGCAAGCTCAAGGTCAGAGAAGAAAGATGTCTGTTTTGGGCACATCTAAACAAATGAGAACAGAAAAACAATCAGTTGTTCAATGATTTATAATAATGGATGTTTCTATTACAACAGTCACGTTCTCTTCATGCGAGTATAGTCACTACAATTGCCCCGCGCAATAAAGGGTTTACACATTCGATGAGTAGCGGGTTCATTCGGAGGACTGATAGTTCTACTTGTGATTGTAGGGCTGGAAGGTTGGCAAACAGGAAGCGATCAATGATGCTTAAGTTGTCACCGAAGGTCTTTCACGGAGAACTGGACCAGTAGTTAAGTGCCATGTTTGCTGCTCGAATTGGCGTGCCACACCAGAGTGGTTTGTATCCAGAATCTGAAGCTTGCATTTGTAGGGGTTCGGACCAGAAAACGCTGCAGACGTAGGACGGAACCAGATTGAGTGCAAGAAACAGAAAAGCCCGTAACAACCAATTTGGAGACCATACTTATGCCAGACAAATTTGGAACCAAATCACCGACTGAGTGCATTGACAAGAGCGTGGGTGATTCCGCAACGCTTCGCCAAGACTGACTAAAGTTGATGGTAACAACAGGGAGAAAGTCAGAGACATGGGCTCAAGATAAGAAAATCATTGAAAAAGAGAATGGGGTAGCATGCATGTGGTATGAGTATAAAGTACTGTACAGTATCGGTTGTTGCCTCGGGGACTGCTCGCGAAGGCGTACGAGTAGGCGTTCCATGCGACCGGAAATTGAGACAGTAGTCTCGTACGTACCTCATGAGCCTGCAATCTGTGAACACATAGATAACTCTCGAGGGAGAGCGACCTGTCGATGCTGTATTCAAGTTGACACCGCAGGCAATGTTCACATGTACTGAGACAATCGTTGGACGTAGTCTGATTGATTTAAGTTAATAATGTTCAGTTGTATGAAAATTTCCCTAGGCGGACGCAATTACGTGCCATATGCCAATTCAAAGGCGGAACACTGATTATCTGCCTTTAAGCACATTCTGATACTTAGGAGGACGAGCGATAAGATTCTGTACCAATTGTTGTTTTCGTTTGCCTAAAGAACACTTTCAAGTTGGTTATGAAACCGTTCAACTAAACCAATTAATACTGGATTGTAGTCAGTAGTGCGTTTGCACTCCGTACGTAGCGGCCGGTTTAGCGAGGAGAATAATTCGGACTCGAACTGTTATCCTCGGTTAGTTGTGACAGTCGAGGGACAGCCGTACTGCGCTGTCCACGCAGCGGTGAGCAACTGTCTCAGCCGTAATCGAAGTGATGGGAATAGCTTCGGGCCACCGTGTGAAATGATCGATGCACGTAAGTAAGTGATCATACCCATGCGATGGTGTCAATCGTCCTTCAATTTCACAATGAATGTGATCGAAGCAGCCATCTGGAGTAGTGAACGTGCCAATTGGTGCGGCTACGTGTCTGTGCGTTTTTGATCGTTGACATTGTCAGCATTGCTTTATCCACGTACGGCATTCTTTATTCATGGACGGCCAGACGTATCGCGCAGCGATAAGGCGTAATGTGGCTGCGATACCTAGCAACGAGACCAAACACCGGTAAAGTAACTGCATTCATTTGGATACGTGACAGAGCATCGGCACCATAATTCGACTCACGTGAGGTGGTGGCTTGTTTTAACATCACTCAGGGGTATCTTGCTAGTAGAGTCCCAAATGGTTCCTCCCTCGAGAGTAGGAAATGTCTGAAGATCGACTGCTTGAGACGATCGTAGACGTCGGGTACGTTCGACCTGACGGCAACCTCGTGGACAGCATCTTTGTGGTCCCCAGGTAATTACTACAGAGCATAGACATATATTTTTGCCGCTGGTTCGCATTGTGACGGATCTCGGATTGAGCTTCCAGTGCCGCGAATCAGGCTTCTATGTCGTGCGGAATGGAAAAAACAAGTCGAAAATTGATAACTTGAAACTGTCATATCATCGTCATTTTAAAGTCTATCTACCATTTTGAAGTGCTGTTAGGAATGAAGTATTATATATGTATATATATACGGATATCAAATGAGCAACAACGATAAAAGTTAATAAATGTGGATAGATAAATAACAGACTAACCGCGAGAACAAGGAGAACAGTAAAACAATCACTTGTACACTGAGTTATTATAGTAATGAACGTTTCTATTACACCAATCACGTTCTCTTCATGAAAGTAGAGTCACCACAAGTTTTAGAGACAAAAACTAATAAATTGAAGTTCATTCGTGCATCAAATCACTGTGTCTTCCTATTTACATTCCGTAGATTTACATAATTTTAACCAGCTTCATTCCTTTCAATTTCCTCTATTCATGCGATCATCGTCTGTTCTTGCCTTTTGATAGACTTGTCTTTTTAACCTATCAATCGGAATAAGAAAGTTCCAAGTAATCATACCTTAAGGTTTTATTGACATATTACATCTGTTAGGTCATGACATAACTCCAATCACGAATATTTCCTGTTCCTCTCCTCTCACCTTTCTTTTTGCCTCCCTCTTCTAGAAATGTAGTGATACACTAACGGAAGCACAATTGGAACCTATCAATTTGTCCTACAGCTTATGTAACAGCCCCGATA